GATCCTAACTGACCTAAGACAGGGAATTTTTACTAGGATTAAATGTCAGGAATTGTGAAAAACTGAGTTTAAATGTATTTGGCTAAGGTGTATGTAAACTTCCGACTTGGCAGCAATTACAGCTGTGAGGTACAGTTGAAGTCCGAAGCTTACGTGTAGACGATAGTCTAAAGACAGGAGTATAATGTGTAGACGATAGTCTAAAGACATGAGTATAATGTGTAGATGATAGTCTAAAGACAGGACTATAAAGTGTAGACGATAGTCTAAAGACAGGAGTATAATGTGTAGACGATAGTCTAAAGACAGGACTATAATGTGTAGACGATAGTCTAAAGACTATAATGTGTAGATGATAGTCTAAAGACAGGACTATAATGTGTAGACGATAGTCTAAAGACTATAATGTGTAGATTATAGTCTAAAGACAGGACTATCATGTGTAGACGATAGTCTAAAGACAGGAGTATAATGTGTAGACGATAGTCTAAAGACAGGACTATAATGTGTAGATGATAGTCTAAAGACAGGACTATAATGTGTAGACGATAGTCTAAAGACAGGACTATAATGTGTGGATGATAGTCTAAAGACAGGACTATAATGTGTAGACGACAGTCTAAAGACAGGACTATAATGTGTAGATGATAGCCTAAAGACTATAATGTGTAGATGATAGTCTAAAGACAGGACTATAATGTGTAGATGATAGTCTAAAGACTATAATGTGTAGACGATAGTCTAAAGACAGGACAATAATGTGTAGATGATAGTCTAAAGACAGGACTAAAATGTGTAGACGATAGTATAAAGACAAGAGTATAATGTGTAGACAATAGTCTAAAGACAGGACTATAATGTGTAGACGACAGTCTAAAGACAGGACTATAATGTGTAGACAATAATCTAAAAACAGGACTATAATGTGTAGACGACAGTCTAAAGACAGGACTATAATGTGTAGATTATAGTCTAAAGACAGGACTATAATGTGTAGATGATAGCCTAAAGACTATAATGTGTAGATGATAGTCTAAAGACAGGACTATAATGTGTAGATGATAGTCTAAAGACAGGACTATAATGTGTAGATGATAGTCTAAAGACTATAATGTGTAGACGATAGTCTAAAGACAGGACAATAATGTGTAGATGATAGTCTAAAGACAGGACTATAATGTGTAGACGATAGTCTAAAGACTATAATGTGTAGATGATAGTCTAAAGACAGGACTATAATGTGTAGACGATAGTCTAAAGACAGGAGTATAATGTGTAGACGATAGTCTAAAGACAGGACTATAATGTGTAGATGATAGTCTAAAGACAGGACTATAATGTGTAGACGATAGTCTAAAGACAGGACTATAATGTGTGGATGATAGTCTAAAGACAGGACTATAATGTGTAGACGACAGTCTAAAGACAGGACTATAATGTGTAGATGATAGCCTAAAGACTATAATGTGTAGATGATAGTCTAAAGACAGGACTATAATGTGTAGATGATAGTCTAAAGACTATAATGTGTAGACGATAGTCTAAAGACAGGACAATAATGTGTAGATGATAGTCTAAAGACAGGACTAAAATGTGTAGACGATAGTATAAAGACAAGAGTATAATGTGTAGACAATAGTCTAAAGACAGGACTATAATGTGTAGACGACAGTCTAAAGACAGGACTATAATGTGTAGACAATAATCTAAAAACAGGACTATAATGTGTAGACGACAGTCTAAAGACAGGACTATAATGTGTAGATTATAGTCTAAAGACAGGACTATAATGTGTAGATGATAGCCTAAAGACTATAATGTGTAGATGATAGTCTAAAGACAGGACTATAATGTGTAGATGATAGTCTAAAGACAGGACTATAATGTGTAGATGATAGTCTAAAGACTATAATGTGTAGACGATAGTCTAAAGACAGGACAATAATGTGTAGATGATAGTCTAAAGACAGGACTAAAATGTGTAGACGATAGTATAAAGACAAGAGTATAATGTGTAGACGATAGTCTAAAGACTATAATGTGTAGACAATAGTCTAAAGACAGGACTATAATGAGTAGACAATAATCTAAAAACAGGACTATAATGTGTAGACGACAGTCTAAAGACAGGACTATAATGTGTAGATTATAGTCTAAAGACAGGACTATAATGTGTAGATGATAGCCTAAAGACTATAATGTGTAGATGATAGTCTAAAGACAGGAGTATAATGTGTAGATGATAGTCTAAAGACAGGACTATAATGTGTAGCTGATAGTCTAAAGACAGGACTATAATGTGTAGATGATAGTCTAAAGACAGGAGTATAATGTGTATATGATAGTCTAAAAACAGGACAATAATCAACGTTGGACGTTACCCTGTATTGGAATTATTTTGTCAGGCGAAAGAAAACCTGTTCAGTAACAATACAAATGAAAGGGAACCACAATCACTGCCTCTGGTCTGTTAATATCATGCCTCCCGCTTGTATTAGGGTGCTTCGGATAAGCTGATCCGTTCACATTATGTAAATGAGATATTTCTGTATTGTTCTTTATACATTTGCAAACATTTCTAAAAACATGTTTTCACTTTGTCATTATTGGGTATTGTGTGTATTTAATCCATTTTGAAATCAGGCTGTAACACAACAAAATCTGGAATAAATCAAGGGGAATTAATACTTTCTGAAGGCACTGTAAATTGTTTCAAATTCATTATATTAAGCAAACATGACAGCACGATTTTCTAGATGTTATTTTATTATTATAAAAAATTTTATGGAGTAGATTAGGTTTAATATTTTTTTTATTTACTGATAGCCAGGGGCACACTCCAAAACTCAGACATAATTTACAAACAAAGCATTTGTGTTTAGTGAGTCCGCCGGATCAGAGGCAGTAGGGATGACCAGGGATGTTCTCTTGATAAATGTGTGAATCTTTAGGAATGTAGTAAAGTAAAAGTTATCAAAAATATAAACAGTACAGTACAGATACTCCAAAAAACGACTTAAGTAGTACTTTAAAGTACATTTACATTTACGTCATTTAGCAGATGCTCTTATCCAGAGCGACTTAGTTAGTGAGTGCATACATTATTTTTTTATTTTTTTAAATACTGGCCCCCCGTGGGGATTTTAATCCATGACGGCGTAGTGTGTTACCAATGGTTTTCTTTGAGACTGTGGTCCCAGCTCTCTTCAGGTCATTGACCAGGTCCTGCCGTGTAGTTCTGGGCTGATCCCTCACCTTCCTCATGATCATTGATGCCCCACGAGGTGAGATCTTGCATGGAGCCCCAGACCGAGGGTGATTGACCGTCATCTTGAACTTCTTCCATTTTCTAATAATTGCGCCAACAGTTGTTGCCTTCTCACCAAGCTGCTTGCCTATTGTCCTGTAGCCCATGCCAGCCTTGTGCAGGTCTACAATTTTATACCTGATGTCCTTACACAGCTCTCTGGTCTTGGACATTGTGGAGAGGTTGGAGTCTGTTTGATTGAGTGTGTGGACAGGTGTCTTTTATACAGGTAACGAGTTCAAACAGGTGCAGTT